AAGAAAATCATTATTTTATATATCATTAGAAAGCTATTAGCACAATCTCTGCAAGATTAAAATGTGAAACATGATCTAGCAACTACTGCTACTCACACCAGTATTGCTGTTTTGTATCTGTTTTCGGACACAGCTATTCATCTTTCTTTTTACTTAATCCCTCAGAAATGTAATACATATTATAACAAGAGTCTATTCACATACGGCCCGTGACCTAAAATCGGAAGTGAGTAGACGTCTGCGGCACCATAATTTTTTAGTGCGGAGACCGACAATTTTTTTCAAGCCATTCCGATAAATTTGCTCCATTCTCGGTTCTCATCATTTAAGGCGCCCTACACCAAGCCTCAAAAATTGATCTCAGTTATGGAATGTTCAAATCACTTGAAATTTGCAGGGTATGTTGGGATTGTAGTGGAGAAGCTATGATGAAATTTTCAGCCCGACACCGAAACCCTGAAAAATGACGGTTTCTCTAGAGATGTTTTCTTATATTATTGCAAAAAATGCCTATTTAAAAAAAAACCTTGTGGTGGCCTGCATGTTGACTTGCTCTTTCTAACAAAAAGAATTAAATACATCGCCTCAACAGGAACTGAGAAAAGAACGAAAAAGACTTTCGACTTTTTCTAAAACCAGATTATTTTTCGCATCGGGGACGACGGAAATCCTCAAATATCTTTTGGAAAAAACGACGTGCCAAGTAAAACTTTTTTCATTCATCAAATATCAAATCACGAGCTATCTTCCCATGGATTTATACTTAACTTCGATCATTGTGAGACAAAGTGACATTTCGTTAGGCGTGCGGAGTCGCTAAGTACTTGAAGTACATGTAACCTATCCTATATTTGCTTCAGTGCCCGTCATTTTACTTTTTCAGGTCCCGGTCTAGAAAAAAACTAATCCATAATGTACTCATATCACACGTAAAAAAAGTCATCCATACTCGTTTTTTTCTTTTTAACTGATAACTAGAACTTTTTTCGATCATCTTTCGTGAATTTTCTTTCTATTACTACGATTTATCAAAATCATCTGCTTAAGGCAATAGAATATTTAACTCTGATCTTTATATCTGTTTGAAGCAACTCTTTACTAGTAGTCCCAACGTGTGGGAAGGACCAAATTTGTATCCATATACTTCAACAATCATTTTAAATCTTGTTTCACACTCAAAAAAAAACATAGTGAAAACATACCAAGCATTGTCAACACGGATAATATCTTTAAGATAGTATTCAGCATAAGTTTTTAAGTCAGGCATTTCATAATTAGCGGCAATTGTTAATAAGTCAATAACAAGTGTATGTGATATAACAGCACCAGGTACAGCTAATTTTTTAATTCCACCCGTATAAACATATTCAAGAAAGCAGAGAATTGTTTTACGATCAATATCATTAATATCAATTGTAAGTGATGGATCTTCACCTCCAGTAGCTCCTTGTGTCTCGGTTTCCATACTTTCACTTGTTGTATTAGCTGCTGAAGCGGTTGCTCGTTTACCATGGCGACTAAAACAAAATTAAAACAAAACAAAACAAAAATTTAATTCCTATTCTTTTCATTGAACTTACGTTGGTTTTGCTGGTGGACTAACAGCTGTTGGATGAACTGCTGTTGTTTCTTTTTCTTTTATCATTCTGGCAAGTACATTTGAACGAAGACCAAGTATAAGTTTATGAACACTATGTAATTCATTACCACATCGTAAATACATATCACACATACGTTTTTCTAAATACGCTGTATAGAATAATGTCGGCCAATATGTTGCTGGATCCTCACTAATCGATGCTGTTGCATTCGATTTATTGATAGTTGTACGTGGTAATGCAACTAATGGTCGTGATATATATTTACGTTCATCAATTGATTGTCGTTCAAGAATTTTAATTTGACAATATAAACGAAGTTCATTACCAGGAAATAATTGTTGTTGTGCTTGTAATAATGTTGAATGTTTAATAAAATCACCAACACCCCAACGTTCACCAGGTGCTAATACATGTGACGGTAATTGTTTTGTATTAACACGACGCCCGCGTGCATCAATTAATGAAAAACGTATGACAACACGAACGCTTGGACCAAATGTATGTTCCAAAAAAACTGATAATGATTCTTTAAAACGTTCTGTTTTACCACTTGGATAAAGTATAAGTGACCACTGATGTGGTGGAATGTCATTTTGAGGTGGTGTTGTTGCTGGTGTTTTATTTTCATTTGTATTCGAACCATTTGTTAATTGTTCATCATCCTCTGTTTGTTCAGGTACTGCTGTTTGAATATTTGTTGTATTACCTGGTCGTTGTTTATTAAATGTAAATTCACATGATTCAATAAAACTATTATTTGGTGATTCATTAACTAATGTTGAAAATTTTTCTATTTTCCAACGTAATTTCATTTTCATAACTTTTGATACAACACGTGATGAACCTTCAACCATTTTTGATGTACTTGTTTTCATACTACGTTTAGCTAAATCATCAATAGACATTAATTCAATGCTTATAATTAAATGATCCTTAGAATCTTTATATAATTGTTCACATGCAGCTCGTGTCATTTTCATAATAATTAATTCATCTGTGATATTACCACCACAATCATGAACAGTTTCCGTATGAAATATACGACCCTAGAAAATAAATTCTTATTATATGTTGTTTGTTTTTTTTTCACTCCCAGATAAATCAAACTTATTTCGTTTTCCTCTTACGTATCTCCGAGTTCAATTCCAAAGGTCTACAAAATTTTCCGAGTAGCCTCCATATCATCAGAAAAACAAAATTTTCTTTAACAATATTATCCACTCATCTCTGCTCAGCCCCTTCAGTTCTTTGTAGTTCCTATGGAAGACCTGAGTCCTTTTCGTAAACTTATGAGCGTGAGGCACAAATGATTCAAATCGCTTTCGTCCTCACACTATGTGCATTATCTAGACGCAGATTAGCCATGAGTACCCTGAAGACTTCGAGCACTCAGCTTATAGGTACACAGATACTGCACTTTTTCAGTACTTTTTATAGGAATGCCATGGTCCATTTAGGAACAACTGATTTTCGCACTTCGGCTTGAAACTTTCAAGCCTCTTCATTCACTTATAACTCGAACTCAGAGTATCAAATTTATTGAGATACCTGCCTCAAAAAAAAACTCATTATTTCAATACTTCAATGTGCAGATGCTAACAACGACATCTGAACATTTACTAAAAACTCTTCCCGCTAAAACTTCTAATGATAAAGATTCAAGTCGAATTTCGACACATCAGTTTCTATTGTGTTCCTCATGTGTATCGTGGCATGTGTGTTGACAGTATCTACAGATCCAGTATCTACGTTGCCATAAGCTAACAATGCAAATTCATTTGTGACATATCATGGCTCATTAGGATCCCAGGAGTGGACATACTGTCAACGCAAAAACCATTTGACAGTTGATCACCTTTCCTCGTAATCCTTCTGGATATCGGTTCGGTGTGCCTGGTTCCTTCGCCCACCCTCACAAGGCCCGACCTGTTCTTTCAGGTTTAAGGATTGTGTAACCACAGAAATAAAACAAAGTAAGTTTCATCTTCGTGACCTCTTCTTCTTTTTAGTTAGAATTTTACTTGTGGATTTGAAAAGTTGATAAGAGCCCGAAAGTAAACTTGAAGTTGACGTGATGATGTATTCATTAATGATGATGCTATATGATTTGGATTATTTGAACCTGCTCCATTAGATGATGATGCAGATACATTAGACGGATGTTGAGATGCAACATGTGATGGACATAATGTTAAATAAAATTGTAATGATGAATCATCATCTGTTGATGACGCACCAGCTGGAGATGGTTGATTTTGTTGTTCTTTTGATAAACGTTGATGACCTTTTGGATAGAGACGAAGTGTCCAAAATTCTTTTTGTAAATCATATGGTGGAAATTCTTCACTTTGAATCATATCTCCGCATTCATACCTTTAGAAACAAAAAAAAACATAAAAATCATTTAAAATAAGACTTTCTTTTTTTAATTACATTTGTGGATAAAAATCTTCCACAGTCCATTCAAATCGAACATGCGACACATTCTCAATTGTTGTGCATAACATATCAGCTTCATTGGTTGGAATAGCTTTTGCTGCACTTATTATTGGCGGATTTGATGAAGATGATAATTGTCCTTCAGGTTGTTCATCACCAACGCCTGTTCCTTCTTCATTCATAGCTTCAACAACTTGTTGTTGTACAGACACATTATCGTTTCCACTTGTTTTACTTATACCTGGATCGGAAAGACCTGCTGCTTCGCATACATCAGAAACTTGTCTTTGAGAACAAACACTATCGGCACTAAAAATAATAAATTGCTTAATCAAAGCTTAGATTTTCGTCGTTTTTTCTCCAATTCTTCTTACACTTCCATTCCTTGTGAAGCAGTCGATGTTTCTTCTAATTGTACACCACCTGATCGTCTTGAAGTTTTTCTTGACATTAGACCACGAGACAAAAAGATTAAATCAAATTAATAATCTACAACAAACAAACATGATTATTACCAAATAGAGTAAAAAAAAATCAATTATATTGATTGTCTTTTGCTAAGATATGAGATTGAGATTAAATATAAAAAAAAAAAAACATTCGCGTGAATATATATTTCATAAAATGTACAATAAATTAAGCTATATATCGACTGGATTAGTAAGTCTAAGCCAGATCAGCATATAAACACTTGTGTAAACCATATTATAAAGTGAACCCCATGCCATATCTTGTACAAGAATTGAAACCGGATATCGACTGGAAAATATCGCACGTGTCGTACAATTATAAACACCATAAACAATGAATCTGTTAAAGACAAAATTATTTTATCAAAATCATAATCTGTAACTATAACTGTATTTCTATAGCAGATATTCCATCGTACGATATAGAATATCACGTGCTCAAACACTTTTCATCTACCGAGAACAATTACTACGGAAATCCTAATATAGTTTACCCATAGAGAAAACCAGATACAAGTCCACTTAAAACACTTGTTGATAATGGTGTCCAAGATGGTTTACGTTGTTTAAGTTTATCAAAATAAGCAAAAGCCAATTGTACGGTAATTAGATACCATCCAAGGGCCATGACTACAATAGAAAAAAAATGACATTTAATATTCTTTTGTTGATTTAAATAAGATTTACTAACTTGCATAGCAAACTAATACGGCCACTACATCAATTTGCATTTCATCTTTTTGAATATTTCGAACAACTTGTTCATAACGATTTTTCGCTAGATAAAGGTAAAGAAAATCGAAACATACGTAGATAGTACAAGCAACAATGGGTAGAATAATGTTTGTTAAACGAGTATTCATTGTTTAAGACAATTCTTGAATCAATGTCAAGAAGAAAAAAACAAACGTTAAAAAGAGTCTTTTGTTTGTGTCGAATGTTCTTTGTTTGTATAGGAACCAATAGTTCGATAGATGATCTGCCTCCTTAAAAATATATAATAGATGTCACTAGTTGATTGTTTTTTTTTTTTTCAGTGAATGTTTCGCGCATTATTGTTTAATTGGTTTTTTTGTTGTTTTATAAAGTAATTTATTAATTGATTGAATATGATTGGAAACAGTGAACGAGATTCATCAGATACGAATGTTACAAGATTAAAAGATGAGTTAAATATTGAACGACATGAATGGCCAACAAAACGAGAACTTTATACTATATGTGGAAAATTAGGTGAAGGAGCAACTGGTAATGTGAGTAGAATAGATGAATTAATTCAATAGAAAAATGTTTTATTCTAAGGTATTGTTCATTGGGCAACTTGTACAGGTTGTTCAGTACGAAAACGAGTCGCGATTAAACGTATTCCTATTAAAGAATCTATGTATATTGATATTGTACGTGAAATTCATGTTATGGCATCATGTTCACATGAAAATATTGTTCGATTTTTTACAAGTTTTGTTTATAAGACAGAATTATGGATCATTATGGATTTATTAGATGGGGGAAGCATAAGACAAATAATTGAAAAACGTATCCGCGATAAAAATGATTGGTATCTTGGTGTATTTGATGAACGTGAAATAGCAACCGTTATGCGTGAAACTCTCAAGGGTCTTGAATATTTACGTAACAAAGAATTTGAAAGATTTAAACAAAAAGAAAAATTTTATTCGATTTAGATTCTCAACAATATATTCATCGAGATATTAAAGCTGGTAACATAATGTGTAAAATTGATGGTAGCATTCAATTAGTTGATTTTGGTGTTAGTGCTTTTCTTACGGATTCAACAACACGACAAAAAGCTATTGCTCATACTTTTGTTGGTACCCCTTATTGGTATTCATTCTTGATAAATTATTTTTTATTGAATAAATATTAAATTTAGGATTGCACCAGAAATGTTTTCATCTACAGGTTATGATAATAAAGTTGATATATGGGCTTTAGGTATTGTTGGTATAGAATGTGCTACAGGACATCCACCTTATTATAAAAAATCAGCTCAAGAAGTATTTCGTATTATATGTAAAGAGACGAAAGGACCAACACTTGAATCAAACGCTGAACGTGAAGGACAATATATAAAATATGGTAATGAATTTCGTCATTTTCTTATTATGATATTGGAACCATCGAGTATAAAACGTCCAAGTGCATTGGATTTATTACAAACAGATTTTTTAATTAAATTTGCTCAAGATAAAAAATTTGTTATTGAACATATGATTTTAAAAATTCCATTTGATTGTCTTGAACAACAAATTGATATTGATTTACAATATGATGATCTTAAAGATCGTATACAAACAATAAATAAAGAACGTAGCCTACAAACTGAACATACAATTTTAGATAATATAAGAAATTTTTTCCGGTAAGAAAATAATATTTTGTTAAGAATTTTTTATTAATCGTTTTGACGCCATAGACAACAAGAAAACCTCATCAGATGCCACTTTCCGATTTCAATAATGTTTTGCCTTTAAATACGACACATAATGTTCCAATACAATCCTTAGAGGATATGGGCTTCTATTCAGATTTAACTAAGCTATCGAATTTTGATCTGAAACTTTGTACATATAGAGAACTCAGTTAGACTAGTTTCATAAAAAAAAATTCAAAAGGTTTGAACGAAGTCTCATTGAGATATGAATTTTTCAAAAAAAAAGACATACTATGTGCACTATCTATGGAAAAGGGTGTATATGTTGAAAGTCTCATATATCGAAGAGACTTCATTCGAAAATTCAGAAATTTTTTATGGAAACTAGTCTAGTTGAGGTTTCTATATGCATAAGGTTTCAAATCAAAATTCAAAAAGACGAATTTTCCGAAAACATGTGACCTCTAGAAAATAGACACGTTAAAAATGCGAGACCCTAGTCAAACATCAATAGGAGTTCAAATTCTTCTAGAGGTTTTACTAGAATACTATGTAGTATCTATAGACAAAAATTATTGAAATTGAAAGGAGAAATCTAAAGAGATTCTCTCGTTAGTGGTTACTTTGTCCGACATGTATCCGCAAGATATTGTTTTCAAACTTTAGTGCCATCAATCATGAAGTCATCCTAAACAAGTCACTAATGGATCACCCATCCGACAACATGCTCACTACTTTGTGAAATAAATCTGCTCTTTCAGCTGATATGTGGTTAGTTACTTTGTATGGAAATCTCAAATAATGGAGCACAAGAACTCTGTGCTAGGCTTAGTGATCAGGAGGACTAACCATTTTGTTTTTGATCCGCCTCTGTCCGATTTCCGGTAAGAAAAACTTTTGGGTGTAGTGTTGCGTTTAATAATACATGTACTAGTGGAAAATATGATTTCATTTTTTACCAGTGTCAATGAGCTTGAGACATTTTCCACGACCAGCATGACCTCTAATATCTTTCCTCTTGGAGATTCATTACTTTTTTCATTTCACTAATACTTCCTCTATTCTGCACGGTTATGTGTTCGACAACTCTCTGATTGACGGAAGAAAGGATTAATTTTAGTATCAAAATTGAAACATTCAATAGTGAAGTGATCATAACTCAATAATTTCCGCATAAACTTCTACTAGACATGAATCGTGAGAATATGACATTTGACGCAAGTTTCACATGACAATAAAAAAATGTGGTTCCCGATCCCGATAGGATTGATATCTGAATCGGCACTATCTTGCTCATATATACTCGGAACTGCAGTTAGTCATAATTGTAGGGAAAATATAGAACTATTGAGTCTGCTACTAGGCAACACCTTATATCGCAAGGTAGCTGAATGGCAGATGTATTAGTTGGCTACTCTCTATTTATCTATTGGTTTTTTTTTGTGTAGACCAATATCACAAAAAATAATACAAGTAAATTTAATATTAAAATTATTTTCATGATGAAAACAAAAAAAGAAATATTGATTTAAAGGATATTGATCGAAAACTAGATGCAAACATTGATTCAAGAACGATAGTGAATCAGGAAGCACCATTATCAATAAAATTAAAAATAAAAGAACCCGGACGTTTAGCATTTTCATTAATTTCATTTAAATATCAACCAAATATTGATCATCCAGTGAGTGTTGCACAAGAATTAGTGGCTGAAAATCATGTATATGGACATGATTATATATTAGTTGCAGCTAATATTGATAAAGTACTTTCACATAAAGGCAAAATTCGATTTGCATTACATAAGATTGATGGCAAAGGTTTGATTGATAATTTTGAAATCTAAGTTTTTCTTATATTCGTTATTTATTTGTTCATTAAATTCATTTAGAAAAAGAATCGGCATCTTACGCTGAAATTTCCATTGGTGAAACATCTTTAACACGAACAAATAAAAGTCTTTCAAATAGCGGTTTTCGTTCAGCTGGTTCTATTGGTCATGAAAATAGTACTCATGAAACAGCAACAACAACATCAACTGTTATTAAAACAGATGATATCATTATATCAACAACTTGAGCGAGTATAATACATCATTGTAAATGACCTTGTAAAAGACAAGCATTCATCCATGCCATGATTTAATCATTAATAACAAACATTGGACATATGCAAGCCTAGTGTCTAAATATATTGATTGACAACATGACAAAAAATGCATACAGATATATGGATGGCAAAAGTTGCAAGTGTCAATAGTTGAAATTGTTTTCTTTTCTTGTTGTATTTCGTCAAACACATCTTCTATGTTATATCAATGATAAAAAAAGACCTATGTAGATGTAAGATACGTTAAAGAAAAAAAAATGTCCTCATTTTCAAACTAGACATTGTTATTATTCGTCATTATTCAATTGGGTACATGTTACGATGAAAACTTAGAAAGAAGGATGCATAAGAACTTTTTAAGCAGTGTTATTGATGTCCTTAATAGACGATTCGATTAGACCAATTTTTTTATTAGAAAATAGAAGAGTACTGCAATTTCTACGTCTTTTCTAGTTGTTGTTGCTGTTGTTGTTGTTGTTGTCGTTTTTGTTGGTATTTTATTTCGGATGTGCAATTATACATACCAGACAGAATAACTCTTATATGATCGAGAGAATAACATGCTCAAGAATTTACAGCTAACCAATTATTCTCTGTATTTAAGAATATACACTTATATTATACGAGAACGGAAACTCGAAGGATAATGAGTGTAACGAAGAGGAAAGAGTCTAAAACAAAATTATTAGCAATATGATATACAGTCAAGTTGAATAGATTATTCAGTTTTATATGACTATCATTTCCAAATAATCCTAAATATTTAATAGAATAGATAAAAATATTATTGATGAGACAATATGCCTATCTTTGTTTTTGTTTTTGCTTTTTTTGCCTCTTAAACATAATAATAATTATTGAAAATACATTCATTATCGATAATGTGATAATCAAATTTTCAAATTTTTTAAGTTGATATGGCGTTTTTTCTTTCTCTTGTATATCTCATATTGGGCTATTATAGTTCGTAGAAAGTCAATACAGAATAGGAAAACGAAGAGAAAAACAGTATTTATGATGAATTCTTCTCTAATGATGAACGACGGTTGGATGAGTGTATGAAATTGAATTTCGCTGCTTTCCGTCGTTCAATTTACCATCTCATTGTTATTCTAATTGTTTGTCAAGTCTTTTCCTCATCCTATGACTACTGTTCTTTCTTCAATTCCTGACGAAATAGCTTTCAATGACCGAGTGTGAAATTGACGATGCATACTAACATAACATAGAAGCATACTAGGATTGTTCGAATCCGCTGGCTAATTATAAGTAATATAGAAATAATGGACACATTCTTCTTTTTTTCTCTTCTCTATTTTCTCCTCTATTTCTGTTTTTAGGTTTGATCTCAACCAGAAC